TAGCCCAACATCTGTAAATTTGTCCAAATTTTAGCCATTTCTGTGTTGACTAAGGCTGATTAGCTGTGGTGCCATCATGAATTGGGTTGAAGTGTTGACCAGTTGTAGATTTAAATTCAGTGATCACTTTCAGAAAGTTTTATTAAAATTTGTCTAGAGGTTTATGATATAAATGAACACAAACACAGCCATATGCATAAACAGTATTACCTCTCAGTCTCTGCATCAGAAAAAAAAGTGTGTATATTTGACGGACTTTGATCAGACATCAGAAAGTTAAGAAATAATTAAAATGACTATAAGATCATAATACTGTAGAACTTAGCACTCGTGATGCAGCATGATGAGTGCAAAGTTTTAGAACTTCATTTATACCACTTTTAAACATGTTTCAATTTCTGCACAAGAATATCTTTGATTTTGTTACAACCAACTGAACATACAGAAAAAAAAGGCATCAGAAAATAAAAGACCCGGTGTTCTTTGAAGGATACTCATCATGCAGGATCAGCCTGAAGACTGAGAAGCTGGGCGAAGAGTGGAAAAATCTGAAATCACAGATTTGTCAGCAGGTTTTTGTTCAGGATACGTGACTGTTGGTGGAAAAGGAGGTTTTCTTAACATAAAGGGAAATGTCACGCTCTTTGATACAACCTCTCAGATTACCGTGAGGAGCTTTTGCTCTAAATCTGAAGAGGAGTGGCAACTAAATGCTTCAATAAAATTAACAAAAACTTCTCATCACAGCTTGAGACTACATTAGCTCCTGCTAGCGTAATAGTCCAGCAATCACTGGTTGAACTGCAGGTGGTTGATTTGAATTTTGAATAAAGGTACCAGTTTTAAACAAGGAAGTAAACTGCATGGAAAAAAAAAACAGGCAAAGTCAGATTCTCAGTCTTCAAACTGATCGTGTAAGATTAGTATCCTTCAAAGAACACGGAGCCTTTAATTACGTGTTGCTTTTTTTTCTTGTTAGTTGTAACAAAAACAATTTAATACGAGATATTTTTGTGCAGAAATTGAGACTTGTTTAAAAGTAATATAAATTAAATTATCCCATTCGGAACCCAATCACTTAGCACTCAATAAAAGACAATTACAACTATTAAAATGCATAATTACCTTATTTGTTTTGTCTACTTTCATGAAAACAAGCTAATTACAGAACTCGCACATCTTTACATTCTGTTTACTTTTCCCGCCTAAAATCTGGCATCATTTAATCAGGTTTAGGCCAATATTATAAAACAAGAGATGTCAAAGAAGAAATTCTGCTGCAACAAAAGCAGTGATCAAACTGAATCAATAAAGAAGCGTGACGTGGACTGATTGCATTCTTTTCTGTGTAAACATCCTGTTGAAGAGGCGCCGCAGGGTTAAACACAATCAAAAGGATTAAATGTGATTATGTGTGTTAAATAAACAGAATTAATGGACAGGACTGTGAGGAGAAGATACCTGAATCAATAGAGCTTTAGCAGAAATGCATGTTTTGAACAACTATGAGCCTGTTTTGGGATCAGTTCTTTCTATTAAAGTGATCCCTGATTAGTTGTAACATTAGACTTTATTTGATAAACATTACTTTTAACTATAAAATAAAGACCGTAAAAATACTGTAGGCTGTTTAGTTTTTATAATATTTTTAAAATATATTGTCACACGGACAGCTCCATTTTAGTGACACCGCAAAGCATACTGGGTAAATGATGATCTAGACTTGAGACTGCATCAGACTGCAAGCTATATCCACCCTGAAGGTTAATCTTGGACAATATCTGATGATTGGCTCTTTTAAATGAAACCAAAAAGTGTTGACAGAGAGGAGAAGGTAGAAACGACTCAGCCTGCAACTGAAAATGTGGATGTAGGACCTCAATTTAGCTTGTTAGCTAGTGTTGAGCTAATACATGTGGCGATATAGCTTCGGCGCTAACAGGCTAAACTGAGGTTTCGATAAAATGGCTCTGTCCATGTGATAATAGATAAAAAAATAAATAAATAAAAACTAAACCATATTTTTACAGACTTTATTTTGCAGTTAAAATAAATGTTTATCAAATAAAGTCTAATGTTACAAATAATCGTGGATCACTTTAATGCAAAGCTTCATAGAGGTGAAGGTAGACTTGGTTTTATGACATAAACTATGATGCTTGTGTCCAAATAAAACAGAATATTTGTTCTTACGATAAACATCGGGTTCAGAACATGAAACCTTAATGTTTCTCCTCTCAGTATATAGATGCAAACATTCATCACAACATGTGCTCATTTATCATTGTACTTTAGTTTAGTTTCTGCAAGCTGACAGACCAGCCCTCCCCACTTCCATCCCCAATATTAAACACTTCATCCTTATCAAAGGCCATTGCATTTTCATCAAGTTTGTGTTCTCATATCTCTAAAAGGTTCTATAAAACAAGTGCTGCCAGATGTAGTTTTATCATTCTGAGAGAGGGTTACAGCTTCGCTCTCAATAAAACTCACTGCAAGGAAAAAAAAGATCTGTTTTTGAGTCGGGCACAGAACTGATAATGGAAGACGTGTCTTTCTGTGGAAATGCACTGAGGCTATTTCCTCACCTTTTTTTTTATAAAGTTGCCTTTTGAAAACATTTCTCCTTTTTGCATATTGTACTTTCCAGCATTTATTTGAATAATTTTATATAAAATATATTATGAGCTGAGGAAAGAGTAATCAAAGAGCATCTACTTTGTTGATATAAAATATATGGAGTTTTAAATCCTTCTTTTTAATATTTAAATCCTTCAGTTGGCATCTATAAAATGGAACTGCAACGCTTTGGTCTGAATTCCTCCTTACTGTAACTCCACAAGCCCCACCTCTTTTCTGAGGCGTGTTTCAGATCAACTCGTTTTGAGGCGGTCACTTTAAAACCAAAGGAGGCACTTCACACCCCACTCCCCTCCAGCTTCCAGAACGGTCGACTATATAGTGGCACAGAAGCTTTTCATTTACAAAGTAATTAAAAGATGTCAACAACTGAAGGCTTATGTTACGGCCCCGGGCCTGTACTGCCTCTCTTAAGCTCCTATGTGCTTCTCCATACGAGAAGTTTCCAGCTCCAGGTGCTGATTGGCTGCCTCCCTCTGCAGGTGGATTTTCTGAGATGACCTTCACGGTTTACCTGTCCAAAGATGATTGGCAGGAGGATGATTGGCAGGAGCACACCTTGGACAGGAAGGTGCCAATACCACATGAGGGAGCTAATAAAAGCCCGCCCAACCTTTCAGTCAGGGCTGCTGTGCTTTAGGTTCAGTATGCCATTAGTTTTTGACTAGATTATCTTTGCTAGGATTGCATTGGTTGTGACTGTGCTTCAGACAGCTTGGAAGCCAAAAGACTACATTTGTGACTCTATTCCTGGTTTGAGCCAATAGAGTTAGTTCATTAGTTTTGTTATTAGAGATTTTGTGTTTTGTTTTCTTTTGGACTTTTCTGTTTAGAGATTTTACACCTCAGACTTCAATTACTCTATTTACTTTCTGTACAACAGAGTTTTGCAGTATTTCAGTTCCTTTATGAGGAAAACCTCCTATCTTTGTTGTTGTTTATTTTTAGTGTTTTGCACTTTAACTGTAAAAATAAATTACCATATTTATTCATGTATAATACGATCTCATGTATAATACGACCCCCCTTTATTTTAGCTTAAAAAGCATAAAAAATTTATCCTCAAACTACCTCCAATTTCATACAGACTTCAAGATTTTTCAGCCTTTGCCGTCTTTATACATATCAGTAAAATGATCTTTGTACTGTTCATTTTATTTTAACAACATATGTACTAAAAGGCATTTTGACAACAAATATATATCAGCTGTAGCAGCATCATATGAATTCTGGCATTTTACACATAGTCCACCAGGATGCGCCAACACAAAAGTCAGAGACTTCACATGAGATTTGAGCCATCTTGTGGGGGAAAAGCAGATTACTTCCTACTCACGAGCGCCCCCCTCTGGTGGGGAAACATTTTTTCAGGGATGCAAACTTTTTCAGAACACCGGTAGACGGCAGCCATTACAGACGAACATGTGTTTGTTGTTGTTCGAGGAGCGGCCCGGTCACACGCTAATGTCATTAGTTCGTTATCATTACTAAGGTGCAGGAATACTTTTTTCCCCCTTTTTTTCACATCATGTCGCCTGCCTGGATCTGTTATTATCTCACTCTGAAGCACGGAGGAGTGTCAGAGGTAAGCTCGTTTCAACTGCTTTTTACGACACGGTCTCATTTAAGGACTCATGCATTTTGTGAATGAAGCCAATATTTCAGTTAAAATCCATAAGTAAAAATATTTATCTGAGTACAGTACTACCCTCTAACTTTATGGATGATTTTATGGATTTAATTTTACGTATTGTACTTGAATAAATACGGTATACTATATTTTGGATCTTGTCATTTATGTTGCGTTCATCACAAGCCAGGACATAACAGCTTGTCCATCCACCCTGACATGTTGGAACCAGTCAGACCCAGAGACAGAGGAGAATGGAGACCACCAAACTGTAGTTGGTAATTCCAGACCTTTTTTTAGAAGTTCAGTTGCAAAAACTGTGATGTAATAGTTCAAAAACAGGCTAGGGTACACCTATTCTAGTTGAAAGATGTGGTATGTATACTTATGACAGCATCTACATGTCCATTTTTGTTGCTAGTCTTATACTATGTAACATATTCTGTTATACAAACAATATTCCTGCATTTTGGTGCTATTTGTGATTGTTTATATGTGAGGAAAAACCTGAGTTTAAATTGAGCTACTGACTTTTTATAAAACATGGACGTTCCAGCTGTGAGCAAAAGTAAACCTTAATGTGTGCCTGTTTTTTTTCCCCTGCTGACAGGTCTCCAATGTGTGTTTGTGTGTCTGTAAACGTGACCCATCTCTCTCTGGGGATATATCTCCCATTTTGGAGATGCGCTCGAGTCTAACATGCAAATTTACATAGAATCACGAAGAGTACCTGAACAATGTCTCTCTCAGCTAGACGTCCTCTGGAGGAAACCCGCACCTCGTCGCCATCCAGCTCCTCCATCGCTAAAAAGACAGGAAAGAGAAAATGACTCGATGCTGGAACCACTGGAGGCGGATGAAAGACGTGATTTTTGGCGTTCATAGCATAATTCTTAAAGTAGAACACACTGTATGGATCGGGAATGGGTTGGTCGTAACAGTTTATGCACCAAAAACACAATTCCTCTAACAAATCAAACGTCAGGAAAATAAAAATAAAAAATTTTGACCACTCATGGGGAAAATTCAATCTGTAAAAATTGCAGCAGTGGCAGAGCTTTCAGACAGACGTCCAAATATAGAAAGAGAGGTTTTGCTCTGAAATTGGGCATGGTTGGAGATGCCACTCTGAAAAGGCCTTAGAAAAAGGACACTCACAACAATGTTTATCCAGGAACTGTCAAAGGCACTAAATAATCTGCTGTCATGGAAAGATGGTTTTGCACAAAGTGTGGCTGAATTTGCAAAAAGACTCGCACAAAGTCAAAAAAGGAGGACGAACACTTATGCAGATAGCATGAAAAAGTAATAATTCAAGTCATTAAAATAATGCGTAGTGCCCATAGACAGTAATACAAGGGGGATACTCTGTGGGTTTGGACATCCAAATATGACTTTCTAGATGTTTTTTTTATCAAAATATGTCCAGCAGTGCACAAGATACTTTACTAATGCTACAGTCAAATTTACACAAACATGTTTGATCTTCTATCCTCATTGGAGACTTTGCATTGACTTCCTTTCATTTACTGGTCATTTCTAACCCTGACCCCTTACCCTAAACTTAACCTCACAGGTACATACCTGACCCTAAACCAGGGGTGTCCAAACTACAGCCCGCGGTCCAGTTTTTATTGGCCCGTAACAAATTCTGAAAATATAATTGAATGTGGCCCGCACAAGAAGTTTGAGCTCAACTCTGTTGCACTTCTCAGTTTCAACACTGGATGGAGCCAGTCACAGAAACAAAATTATAGAGAAGAAGAGAAGAAGAACCTTTTTGTGACTGCGACATTGCATTCAGTTTGAGTCTCCAGAAATGGCGGCGCCGAAGAAACGAAAAATAGCAAGTGAGTGTAGGAGATTTCAAACACGGTGGGAAAATGAGTATTTTTTTCAAAGAAATCAAGGGAAAGTGTGTATGTTTGATTTGCAATGAAGATGTTGCTGTGATGAAAGAATATAATGTCCGTTGGCATTATGACGCCAAACATCAGAACTACACCTCGTACACTGGTGCCGAACGAACATAGAAAGTCAAGCAAATGGCAGCTAGCCTGCAAGCTCAACAGCAGGTTTTTTTTCGGCCCTTTGTTTATTTTTCTGTATTTGGCCCTCACTAAAAAAATTTGGACACACCTGCCCTAAACCTAACCTAAACTCAATTCACACCTTAGTCCAAAACCAAACCCCTGACATACCAAAGGTATTTCTACCAATGAGGACCGAGCACACAGCCTGGTGGGCCCTCACCAGGCTGTGTGTACTGGGAAAATGGTCAAAAATCGTCTCCACCAGGCAGCAAAAACGTACACACCAGAGACATGGGATAAAGCATGACTGCTGTTTGCCATCCAGCCATAAAGTTCAGTGTTAACACACTTTATGGTGTTTTCCCACTTTGAACCAGTGACCTTCAGACATACAGTACGAGTGCTTTCACTGAAAATTCACCACTCGGTTGCTTAAATAAGTCGAGAATAATATGGCTATTCAACACAGTAATGAAGTATTAAGTCGTTCCACCCTGTTGAGCTGTAATTGACTGTGTACACACACACACACACACACACACACACACAC